CTTTGTGCCATCTATGACCAAAATCTTCAAGTTTGTGTAACATTTTCCTGAATAAAATATTGAATTCGTCATTTTTAAAAAATCTACTCAAATCGAGCCTTTTAACAACACTAATCTTAATCCTTCTATGAGTTTTTAAATGGAGTTACCTAATAAAATCTTTGATTACATAATGGAAATCTCATAATAATTATATATCTAATATTTTTAAAATTTAGCAAATAAAATGTTTATTATTAATCTCTTTTAAAAAATTAAAGACTATATAAATTATGATATTAAAATTTATATAAAAATTTAATTTTTATTAGAAAAAAAACATAAATATTTAAAAATCCGACACCTTGCCTTTTTAAATTTTATTTCATTCAAATAAGTAAAGGGTATGACACTTATTTTGGAAAGATTTGCGAATTTTAATTCATACATTATTGAATATCCATGATTTATATTTTGTTCATTATATATTGTTATCTTATAACAATAGAGTTCTTGAAAAGAAAAATTGAGTGTTCATAATTATTTTTAAAATTTAACTAAGCTAAAAAAAATATAAGAGTAGTCTATCAATGTAGTAGGGTAGTAGACATTTTTAAATTAGAATGCTATACAAAGCTATAAATCCATTTTAAAGTGTTTCTCTATAAAAATTTGATAAGTATTTAATAGAGATATTCATAATGAATATAAACAAGTCAAATTGACATGATTTCCTTAATTATTGGAATGCTACAATGAAGACCGGGAAAATATATCAATATTTTCAAGAAAAAAACCATAAATTTAGGAGGAAGGAAAGTTTAAAATTACTATTGTAAATTTTCGGATACTTCGGGAAATGTGGAATTTTGGAGCATTTTGAGGAGCTTTGTAAAAATGTGATAATTGGCTGAAAATCAAAATATTTTGACAAATATTTTTAGCCTAAAATAATGAATTAGATATACTAAATATTAATGAATTGGAGAATGAGAAGTTCAACTCATGCCCTTCTTCTATAATAATATCACAATTTGCTGATGATATATTTCCATTTTCCAATTCAGTGGTAATAACTCTATGCTATAAATATAAATTACATTTCATGGATCTACGCGTTTATTGCCAATTTCATTGCGAATTTTGGAATGGGTTCTTCCAAAATAAGACCAAATTCCATCCGATACATTTCATTGGAGGAATCGTTAAAAGTCTTTTAACAATCATACTTCAACATTTTCCCAAATCCCTTGATCGAAATTTTGCGAGAACTCCGAAATCAGGTTTAATTTTTCAATTAGGGCATTAACTGCATCCATGACAGATATTATTTTATCATTGTTTGGTTCAAAATCATTGAAAAGAGGAAAAAATATGTTTGCCGTAAAATGGTTAATCTCACAACACAAAACTTTTTCCGTTTTTCACTTACTCTGATCACTTTCGCCAAGAAAATTCGTATTAGTTTTTGTTGATGTTGGAATGATTAAAAAATAATTTGGTTCTTGTGATATATTCGATTTATCATTTTTAAATATTCAAATAAGAGAGATTCTAGAAAAGTATATTAGTTATAAATTAAATTATTGTAATATTGTAAATTAACTCAGCTTGTATAAAAGTATTAATAAAATCCTCATAATCTCAACATAAATTTTTAACTGATCAAAGGAGATTATATTCTTGAAAAGAATGTTACCTAAAAGTTAAAATATATAACTTTACCTTATAAAAAAAAAATTACTAACTAAATATGTGTAACTTTGCGATGTAGTTCAGGTTTAAAATATTAGTTATAATCTTTATAAGGATATAAAATAAAATCATTTAATATAAAAAAAAATCCCTTTAGTAAAATCAAAATATTGTGATATGGTATGTGTATAATCTTTTTATAAGGAATTAATTAGATATTTCCAGGAATATTAATGGAAATTTTGAATTTAGTTCCCGGCTATATGCCCGAAATTCCCGAGAACTTTCCGGTTTTATATTAGTAGTTAAAATACAAATAACTAAAATGAGACATTCATGTTTTTAAATATAGTTTTAATAGCTGTATAACCTTGATAACTAAAAAAAATTAAACGAATTCAAAAATATATTATATAAACATATGCAAGGAAGAATTTTTTTTAAATAGCTATTTCTTTTTTTATAACTAAAAAAAAGGAAAACTAGAAATTTTTTCTCGTATTCGGACACTTATCAAAATCAAAATATTATTTTTCTAAATTATAAATAATTAATAAGAATTTTTGGTAAATCAACTAAAAAATTTGCTTAAAGTTTGGAAATCAAATTCTATGGAGCTCAAATCTAAACCTTACTTTGTATATTAGACTATTTCCAAATTCCATAACTTGAGAAAATTTTTTTGACAGAATAACTTTTACAATTTTAATTTTTTTTAGTAAACTATTAAGGATATTTTTTTTAAATTACAAGGAAAAGATTTTTTAAAAAAAAGGTTTTGGACAGGCTTTATATATTTTGATAAAAAAAGAGTATTTCTTTAAATTAAATTTTCAAATTTTCTTTTCTTTCTTCCAATATTTGGCAGTAGTCTTACCCGGAATTCACAATTAGTGCGAACGCGTGAAGGGAATTCTTTTCCAAAAAATTCCAGTTTACTTTTAAAATTCACTTCAAAAATACACAACATTTTGTGTTTTGAAATTCTCTGGGATAAGGTTTTGGTTTAATACCTCAATATAGCCTGAATTGTAACTATGAATATTAGATTATTTTGTATTTTTAGCCTCTTTCTTCCATTCACGTTGGCAATAACTGTGAATTCAGGGTATGTAGAATTAGTATTAAAAAAATAGTTTTAAATTAATACTATTATATTCAACTTGAAATCATATTTATTTTTTATAAAATATATTAAATGTGCCAAGGACAAAATGTAAAATTTGCTTATTTTCCTATCTCTCATATAAAAATTAAAACTTCGCCTATCCTATTTCCATTAAAAATAGGACACCGCCAATAAACATAGAACTTTAATAATGAAGTGAAAAAATGCGTTTTATATATACCCCCCCCCCCCCCAAAAAAAAAAAAAATCGAAGATTCCAAATATTATAAAAAAAACTTAACAATTTTAACAATTTGTCAATCTTAACAATTATATGATATAGATTAAAGTCCTGAAGAATAAGACGTGACCAAGGCAGGTCCGGGCCGACACAACATCAATAAAATTAAAATATTGGACTAGCCATGCTCTAAAAAAATGATTTTATATGCCTCCTTCTTCCTCTCTCCCTAATTATATACTTTAAAAAAAATTTTTTTAAAGAAACATGACGAGAAATAGCTAAAAAAAATTATTTTCCTTACCGGTTTCTTCAGTAAAAATAGAGAAAATTTGTCCACATTTTTAGAAGAAAGTAGAACGCATCCTAAATACTGATAAGAATCTTTATTATTTTTATATCAAATAAGTATAGAATAAAGCTCATATGACCTAGTTAACAATTTATATTTGGCTTTTAAACTGTCCATTTATTTAAATAAGATTGGGTCGCCTCTTAATTTTTTTTAATTTTCAAATTTACCTCTCAGATATATTTTTTTTTACCATTTCACATATCATAATATCCATCCTTATTTTAAATATTTTGTAACTGAGCAATATCTTAGAAGATATATTTATCATTTTTATAGACTTTAATTTTTAGACTCCAAATCAATTTTAATTTTAAGTTAATTGGGTATTTATTTTATATTAAAAGATATAAAAAAATATATATATTTTAAAAAAATCTTAGTAATCTTTGTTGATGAGCGTTTTGGTCTTTTGGACTTTAAAAGGCAAAAAAATTATTTATTAAATATCACAGAATAACAATGTCATGCAGACTATTCACTAAAAAAGGACTAACTTACAGTTTAGTTTAACTATAATATACATAGAAATATTATGCTATTTTTTTTTTACCTTATTTAGATGATATCACAAACTAATTTTCAGTATATAACTAAAAAAAATTATATAATTATTAACTTTAGCAAATTTAATATAATCTTATTTATTATCTCCTTCCCTTCTTGGCATCATTTGTATTCTTTAATTATTTACAATTTATGAGTTAATAGATGCTCAGATTTGATGATTTATTATAACGAATTAATATTTAATGATATCGTCAAAATTTTCAGTATTTAAAATTGGAATTTATTTATATGATATTCTATTCATAAAAAGCTAAGTATGCATTTGCATATATCACTCATCCATTATTTTTATAAGGTGGGAGTGGGGGGGGGGGGGCTTTTAGGTTGTTTGCAGGATAACATTTTTTAAAATAATAAATTAATTTAAAATAAGGAAATTTGGTGAAAATTGATATCGAGATTCAAGATAGAACAAAAAATATACAAACACTACAATTATAATAAATAAGATGAGCGAAATATATTATATTAATTAATTATCTTCATTTTAAAAGATCAATCAACTGGCGTAGGATACCCCCCCCGTGCAGGGCACTAAATTATTATGACTGGTCTTACCATTTCAACTAATATTCAAATTTGAGAGATTTGTTATGAGTAAATATTCTTAGTAGGATCTAACCTTAATTTTTTCAATAAAATTTTAAACGACCTATTTATATTCTTTATTAATATGAAAGAAATTTTTAAACAAACCATATTGAGTGTTTTGGTTTAAGATATTAGTAGAAATCCGTACGTCAGCAGATATGATGGCAATTAAAATTGCTAATTTGGCCATATTTTAAAATTAAAGTTTAGTGGAAATAACAAATTTATAAAGTTTCACTAATAATTTCATTTTAGGAAAAAGTGTTGCTTTTCCTGATACAAGACTCAACCAGGGTATATAGCTACTTTATAATGCTTCGGTTTAAATCTTATTTTTAAAAATATATGGCAACAATATAAATATATATTTTTTGAGATATTTATTTCAGAGATATTGATTAGTTTTTATAAAAATAATTAAAAATTTTAAACAGAATATACAAAATTAAACTATAGATAATTTATATGGAATTGCGAAATGACTGATTTATCCGGTGGTAAAATCCATTGATGGATTTCGAATATTATTTATTTTTTATTTTTATTCTTGCTTTTACTGGGTTTGCGTTTTTTCTTGTTCTTTAATGACGTTAGATGGCGATCAACCTAAAAAAAATATGATATTTTTATATTGATTTATTAGTAAAAATTATATTATATACTTTTGCTGAATACTCTTCCTCTGCAATGGGTAGCATCAGTTCTATTTTAAAAAAACAGCATATTTTTAATCAAAGGTTTTAACAGAAAATAATAATTTATTTCTAAAAAAATAAATATAAAAATTGTAAAAAATTTTTAGGTTTTAACCGGCATAAAATGATAAACAGTTAACAAATAATTTATACTGGAAAATGATGTTATATACTATATATAATATATATAGCTTTTTTAAATACCTTGGGAACCAGAATTCATATTATAATCTCCTGGTAAACTTTCAATGATTTTTACTCCTTGTCCGGTGGAACTAAACTATGATATAAATAATTAATATTGTATTTGTTACTGATGCTTTGCTTAAAAAATTACTTTTTTTGGCTTTCTAAGTTTCCCAATAGAAGACCTAGCACTTCTATCGATATTACCAGATACTTCATGTAATTGATTTATAGATTGTTTAAGCCTCTCCAAAGCTTCTGATAGGGTTAAAGAATCTTTCTTATAATTTGAAATAATAATAAATAATCAAAATTAATTATATAATTGTATTTTTTAAACCTCGTGAATATCGCCCCTTCTTGACTTCAGGATATCTTCGTACATATTAGCTATTTTATCCAAGATTACTTCCTACATAAAATGAGCAAACATTAATTTCACATTGCATAGAAAAAAATTAAGCTCTATATTAGAAAGGAGCTGTTAAAATTTAAACGCATAACAACACATTAATGATTAAACTATTTTCGTTAAAATTGAAAAAGGTCATAAGGGAGACGTGCAAAAATAAATTTTTTGGGGTCTTAGCCCGCCTGCATCTCAATGACATTTTATTTTTAAATCTAGGTCCAGTCAGTGATCCGTTGTTCCGTGGCTCAAGTTTTTAAAAAAGTTATTAAGTGAAGAAATCTCAAACTAAATATATTTCTTTTATTTTTAATTTTATGCTTTAAATTTAAATATTCATAAATGATAATTATATGTTTTATGGATGACGTTATCATTGGTCTGTGGGTTAGGCGAGTCGAAACTCTAGGACTCTACTTCAAGGGAATATTAAATTATAGAAAAAATACTTTTTTAGTGCCTTGAACATTCCCTAAGTTCATGATAATTTTGGTTATTCCATCTTCGTCATCCTTTCCAAATGATGTTTTTGGGATAATATTTTTCCATTGACTTAATAAGGGTACTTTTTATGAATAATATAATTTAATTTAAAAATTTTTTAATTTTAAATTATATTAAAATGTATATTAAAATTTAACCAAGCCTATCATGCATTGGATAATTATAGATAGAAAAGGGATCGATTTCTTTGAGGCCATAACAAATCCGGGGTTTTGCTATGGGAAATATCATATTGTTCATAGCATCCATTTGAAGACAAGTGTGATACCTATTTAAAATTGAAAGAAGTTTCACGAATTAAATGATGAAAGGTTTGACACCTTCAATATTACTAAAAATTTTACAAAGCTACAAAATTAACTTTATAAGAAACTCTTTTTTTTTACTCATAAAATTAAACCATTGGTAAACCTATTTAATGATAGATATTGAAGTTATGTGTCATATAATTTTATAACCTACACATTTATCATTTTATTTTTAATTAATACCGTACCAACAAGCTTTAAGTAAAAAATCCTCGACTTCAGCCAGCCTTTCTATCTCTCTGGCCACCATAAGCAATTGTCTCACCGTCATCAAAGGGAACCTCACACATTTCATTACTTCTCTTATTTTAGACCAGCGACTAGGTTTATTGTGATAAATCCATTTCCAAGCACTACTAAAAACCTCAACTTCGTTTTCCACTGCAAGATAATCGTCCTTCAGCACAAGCAAAATTTCTTGTAAATTTAAAGCCAAAAATTGATTCGTTGTCATATTTTGGTAGTTTCTTCTGTCCATCAATACGAATCCAAGTTTTGAGCTAGATGTGTCGTCATGCTTTTCATCTTCAATTTCATTTGTTGCTTAATATATTTTTTAATTAAGTTATTTAAGCTGAAGATTTTCCAGCTATCTTAAATTCTCAGGATGGGTTCATGAATATTTATTTATATGTCATATATTTTAAAATATGCTAAATGTTGATAATAAAGCAATCGATTTTTTTTGGTATTTTAGAAGATATTATGAAATCACCAAACAAATAAATCTTAAAAAAATTGTTAGATTTTGTTTGGTAATCCAATAAATTTAACTTTGAAAATTTGATCTAATGTCAATCAAATATTAAAAAGTTTGCATTTTTTACTTTTAATGATCGGCCCCTTATTGGTTTTGCCAACATCAGTCTGATTGTACTTCATAATGACCGGATTTATCGCTTCCTTCATGCATTACATGCAAAATATAAAAAACCTATTACAAAGATATAAAAGACATTTTAAACATTAAATATCCCAAACTTTCATAAAGTTAATAACTGAAAGTTCGTAACGCGTACAATTTAAAAGGATTTTGAGAAAATATCTGTGCATAATATTCATAACTTTAGAAGCCATTGGTATTGGTCTCGATATTTGAGATGAATATCCACCTATGCTTGGCGAACGTTGAAGCGCAAAGTCTTGAGTAGAAAATGGCGCTAAAGGAAATATTGGAGGATTCATTATCTGGAACATTTGTGGGTTAAGTGGAAGGGGATAGTTTGTTATTATAGGGGACATAAAATTCTGGGTTGTTTGAAAATTAGATGTCATTAGATTAAAACTTGCTCGTGGAATAGGAGTTATTTTGGATAAAGGGCTTATAGAGAATCCTTGGGAAGACATTATGGGTGGCGAGAACTGGGTGGGTATTTTGATTGGAGAAATTGATTTGGATGCGAAAGGCATTCTACAAGTTTTGCATCTTTTATTTATATTTATTGAAAGTTATGTATTTTTTTTAAATCAAATTTTAAATAATTAATTTGGGATAAAAAAAATATTTTGAAATAGATTTTTTTCAAAAAACAAGAGGTATATTTTAAGATTTTAGTAAAAATGTTTTCTTCATCTCATTTTTCTACTAAAAGATCTAAATCTGAGGTTATTTTTTTTGATTCCTTTCAAAGGTTTAATTATTGAATTCTTCCGCAATTCAATTTTAATAAAAAAAGTATACTATCTTTTTTAATTGTCAATATATTTGTTCCTATAATGTTCCGAGAGTTGTTTCTCCTTTTCTTATATTTATATTTTATTTATGATATATTTATAATTTTTTTTCCTCTTCTTTCTTTCATTTTATTTTAAGTTATAGTTTATAGTTAGGCGTATATAAAATAAGGCCCTTTCTCAAAATCTAAGTATAAACTTACATGATATTGTTCTCTTCTTTCATTGCACCCATATCCGGCTTCATCATGGTTATCATACTACCGGGCAAAAGTTTTGGGAATTTTAAAGGGTTTAAGGGAGGATTGTTCCCAACCATACAAACGCAGTTTTGAAAACGAGGCAACTTATTGGGTAGTAGAGTTTTCATTTGGATCGGTATATCTCTCACAGGTGGCGAAAATTTATTATAAATGTTGGGACTAACAATGTTAGCCTTTATATTGGCATCCTGGTTTAACAATTTATTCGGACAAATTTGACCATCGTTGTTTGTGCTCCGTTTATTAGAGGTTATGAATTTATCAGGAGTGATTTGATTCAATTCCTTTGTTTCAAAGCACACCTTCTGTTGAAATAATATCCCTAGTATAGAAAAATCATGAACTAGTTTTTGAATTTCCTTATCCTCTCCTTCGCTAGGTTCAAATATTCCCGTGTACATATAACGCATAATTCTATTGAATCCATCTTTTGTCACATAATTGTACTGGGGTGTTCTCAAGTCGTAGAAAGTAAGTTCGGGTTCCCTCAAATAAGTCTCGCAAAATATACGACTGTGAGCCCCTATGACTAATTTGTGAGCTGGAAATTGACCACAAGGAAATGCCAGTATGACGTCTGCGCATTTTATATTACCTTTACACCATAATGCATCTGATATGAATTCCGCTACTCGTTTTTGATGTTCCATGTGCTTATATTTCAATGGTTTTTTAAGTTTTATATTAGACACGAAATATTCCTTTTGAAATCATTTTTAAAAAAAGGAAGTTAACATCATTAATTATAGTAAATAAAATTAAACATTAAACAAAAAATATATAAAATAAAAATTAAATTAAAAAAAAATTAAAAAAAATTAACTTTAAATTAACCAATTAATTTAAGAAAATTTATTATGAATATGCAATAGACTAGCTAATTGAATAACGAAACGATGATGCATAGCTGTTAATTATTTTTGCTATTAATGTGATAACTTTTTGATGATATATTTATAGTGCATCAAAATAACGTCAATAAAATTAATGTTACTTTAGATGGCATTATTAAAGAAAGGAAAAGGCATTTGTTACATTTTTTACACTAAGGATTAGTAAATAACTCGTTACTTTTTTTGAGTAATGATAACATAAAACTTTACCCAATAAATAAAATATGGAAAAAATATTTTTTGATTTTTTAAAATTTAAATCTTATAAATAATTTAAGCTGAGTTTTCAATTCAGATCCAATACTCAAAGTTAGGGTTAATGTTAAGCAGTGCCAAATTTACTCGGCAATTTACTAAACGGCCAAATTCATTTAAATATAATAATCATTTTTAATTTATTAACACTTTGACTACCATGTATCATATTCCTTAGCATACAACCTTACTTAGTTAACTCCATAAATAAATCAAACCTTTGGATTCGAACCCAGATCTATGCCATATGTAATCTACCCATTAACCATGACTAGGTCTCAATTTATCTAAACATAAGAGGTTTTTTACATATATCATATTCATATGTGGCCCATCCAAAAAAAAATGTTAAATAAAGATTTATTAGACTGTAAGCTTCTAAATTTTTTATTTTTATTTTATTTTTTTTTTTGTTAAATTTTATACAGTTATGATTATTATTAATCAATAATATTGAATCTATCAAGATATGTGAATTTATTAGTGTTGTAAAAATGTCGAGAGGTCGGAGCCGTAAAAATTGGCTTAGGCTCAAGCCGCCTCAAAACGTGGCTCAAGCCGGCTCAGGAGTTGGCTCGAGTCTAATTTTGAGCCAAAATTTATTTATTTAAATATTTTAAAAGAATTTTTTTTTTCCGGTCATGGGTTACTTATAATAAATATTTTTTTTGCTTTTAAATTTTTTTTTAAACATAATAATATATATTATATTATTATATTATGAAAATAGATTTATTTATTCCATGTTTTTTTAATAAAAAAATGATATGCTCCCCTTCCTTTATAGCCTGTCATAATTTCTTAGAAATATTGCTGCTTATTTTTGTTACAATTTATTAGTGATTTTCATGCCCAAAATTTTAAGCAAAAATTTTTTGAAAAAGATTTTTGAACATTTGATAAGAATTTTAAATTTTCTTTGTATTTCAGGAAATTTTTTGAGAGTTTTATTATAAATTAAACAATCTTTTAGATGAAATCTTTTATAGTTTTTTATCTATTTTTTTGTATAATAAAAGAATGGGTTTTTCTAAATAACTTTTTAAAAATATTTATATTAAACTTTTTTATGTTATTTTATATAATCTTTTTAAGGAAAATATTTTAATGTGACAATTGTCATATTCGTTATTTTTAGACATTTACTTTTTGACACAAAATGGTAAAATAATATTTATATTGTAAATATGTTAAATTATAAATTCAATGAAGGTGTTCCTTTGAAAATTGGCAATTATTATAATCGATATTTTTAAACATATTAGATTTTTTTGACGCTAATTGACAAAAATTATGTATTTTTAAATGTTAAATTAAAATTTCAATTAAGATGTAAATTATAAAAGTGATTATCATAATCGTTATTTTTAAAGTTTTTAAAATTTTTTTGATATAAATGGACTAAAATGCTAACATTTTTAAATAAAACTTCAGTGAAGGTGTACCCTAGATACGTGACAATTGTCATAATCGTTATTTTTGAAGTTTATTAAATTTTTTTAACGCAAATGGGAAAATTAACGCTAATGGGTAAAAGTATATATTTAAACATGTTAAATTAAAATTTCATGAAGATGTACTATAGATAAGTGACAATTGTCATAATCGTTATTTTTAAAGTTTTTTGAATTTTTTTGACCCCAAATGGGTTAAGATATATTATAAAAATGTCAAATTTAAATTTTATGAAAATTTAGGAAAGTAGTGGCGTCACTAGTGTACCATTTTGAAAATTTTGAAAGGATTGAGAGATTAAAATCGTTGTCAAATAAGAAAGGTTAAAATAAAATGATACTAAATCAGACTAATATCCTCGATTATATATATTTTTCTATAATATTCGTCAAATCAGAAAAGTTAGAACTAAAATGATACTAACTCTTTATTAAATAATAAGTTAAAAATATAATCAAACTAAATTAATTAAAAAAAAATTAAAATAATAAAAAATTAAAAATTATAATTAAGTTCGTAAAATCATGATCTGTGTCTATACAAATATCCTCGAATATATATATACTTTTCTATAATTCATTTACATAATGTTTTACAAACAAACTGAAAAAAATCTTGAACTTTCTTTAATTTGAATAATCATTCTTTTTTATTCATCTTTCTTTAAATCATTTGCATTCGAAATTTAATTCTTTTTTCTTGAGTAGATTTGAATATCCTTCGGCTTTGTAATTTGGTTTAACAATTACAACACCCTTCCACTTAGATTAGTCCCACCATTCTGCGAGTAAGGCATGGTTCCCGATACATTCTTCTAGCTCTTTTAATTATATCTCGTTTTACTCCCACATTATCCTAGTCTTTGCTTGTTTCTAACGGTTTCTAGTAACTAATGACGGTAAACCACCGACGATAATTTGTCTGCGAGTAACGATGGTTTCCACGACTTCTTGTTCGATTTTTTATCTTAATTGATAAGCAATTGGCTATAATTTGTCAACGATTAACGATAGCATCCTGGTCTTCTTGTCAATATATCCACTTTGCCTTAAGATCTCTTATACGATAATGATTTCTTGTATCTTTTGATCCAAAATAAAAATCCGATCTCTAATTGAGCTCGATTGCGGCATAAATTTTCTAATGACGAAAAGCCGTTTCTCTTTATGAAGATTTTTTGGTTAATCAACAACCTGATAGTTTGCTAAATATTATCAACTTAAATAACAGTCAACCATATATCTTTAATAAAAATTTATAACGAATTTCTTTTAGCTACATCGATCACTTGTACGTATAACGATCTCTTGTGACGAATTCCTTTTAATTACACGACTAATTCTATTCTTTTTCGAATTACGACCATTGATATTGACACCATGTTTCATTGACCTAATTCTTTGTCTTTGTGTCGATCGTCATTTCATACATCCCCTTCCCCCTTTATTTAGAATCTCCTGTACCAATATGGGATTGATATTTATATTGCTGAGGCTAGTGGGAGAGTTAATTAGACTGAATTGTTGAAATTGCCCTGTCGCCTCCACTCTCCAACATCATTGTACCATTTTATAGTTTTGAAAGGATTGAGAGATTAAAATCGTTGTCAAATAAGAAAGGTTAAAATACATGATACTAAATCAGACTAATATCCTCGTTAGAACTAAACTGATACTAAATCAGACTAATATCCTCGATTATATATATTTTTCTATACTATTCGTCAAATCAGAAAAGTTAGAACTAAAATGATACTAAATCTTTATTAAATAATAAGTTAAAAATATAATCAAACTAAATTAATTAAAAAAATTTAAAATAATAAAAAATTAAAATTAAAAATTATAATTAAGTTCGTAAAAAAATGATCTGTGTCTATACAAATATCCTCGAATATATATATACTTTTCTATAATTCATTTACATAATGTTTTACAAACAAACTGAAAAAAATCTTGAACTTTCTTTAATTTGAATAATCATTCTTTTTTATTCATCTTTCTTTAAATCATTTGCATTCGAAATTTAATTCTTTTTTCTTGAGTAGATTTGAATATCCTTCAGCTTTGTAATTTGGTTTAACAATTACAACAACTAGGGGAAGGCGCAGGGGCCAGGGGCGTCGCTAGCCTTTACAATCTCAGGGGGCTTCAACTAAAAAAAATTTTATTGCGGGCCTTCGGCCCGCTTTTGCCCGGCCTTCCGCCGGGTTTTATATTAATATATTATACCTATTTTAAATTTATTAACTCTGAACAATTATTCTGAATTTTAATTTTCTCATTTATTATATTATGCATACAAAATAAACTGGCATATAAATAATTAAAACAATACAAGACATTTCTAAAAATAAAATTTTTTAATACAAAATCTATTTATTACAGTATAAAATATTTTCGACTGCTGATATAAAAAAAAATTTGCGTCTAAAGAATTACAAGTGATAAAAAAGATTAATTAATTCATACATATGCCTCAAATGATAACAGTTTATAAAATCCACAAAATGCAATAATATAATTCATAGCAACTTACATTGACAAAAGGCTATCAAACTAATATAACTCTCTGTTACCATTTTACACATTTATAGAATGGACTAATAAGAAAAATTTATAGGCCTAAACCAAATCAACAATTCTTGAAGAAGAGAGTATAAACGACTAATCCAAATCATAAAACTATTAAGTGGTTAGAGCTTTCTTTTAGATGACATGAAGGTAGCTAGATTAGTAATCGAGAAAAATATTGTGAGATATTAAATTTCTAAAAGATTATCATCCATTTTAAATGATATATAATATATAAACGACTACATCTTGACCATTATTTTTTATCTAAAATATGCAATCATATGCTCTCAGCCGTTGTAGTAATTATCTTAAATTACATAGCAACACAAATAATAGATGCTGGTTAATTTGCAGTAATAGCCATGAGACTCACGATGTAAACTAGTGTACGAATTTATTATATTGGATAAATTGATAAAATAAAAACACTAAAAATCTTTGGAAGAAATAATTGTGCAAATATATTGAAGCCTTGAGTTATTTACACGACAGATGCCATATTAGAAATGATACATTTTGGAATTA